AAATCCAGTATCGTAATCACATCAACAAAACGAGTCTCAAAACGAAGTTGTGTTCAACAGGTGGCATCGGAAGGATTAAAATGGAATGAGGATAATCGTGCCAATGATGATACAAAACAGTTATGATCATCAAAAGAAAGAGCGCGTAGGGAAAACTGAAAGAAATAGAAACAAGGAACAGGGGAAAAAAGAAACAGCAGGTCTGTTGAATGTTGAAGTGGCAGCATATTGATCACAACAAAAAACACAACAACCAGGACTTTCAGAACAAAAACGTTGAGGGATTTCAAGGAAGGGCAACGCTGATAAATGACTCACTTGGATAAATTTGCATGCAGTTGTAGCCAATAAAAAGTATCTTTCATTGAGGAACTGTTAGGAACCGAGTAGCGTCCGAAGTAGGTGACAAGTGAGCGAGCGGTCAGGGAAAGAGCTGCTCATCCTACGACTACACGCTCAACTAACGCGTACTGTGGGCATGACTCAACTGTGATGGAGCCTAAGAACTTCCTTAATGGTTTCAATAATAAACACACTGACTATATCGTGCACCGACTAGGATCTTCAAAGGCTTCACAACCAACCGGATCTCCTCATTTCTCATCACATTTCAGTTCAGAAACTATCGGAGATTTGAGGAGTTTATCACGGATCAGCTTCATCTTCTCCTTTGGAACCGCCGACAAATTACGCATTCCAAAACGTTGCTCAAGCACTTCAATCAAGCCCTTGCCTGTGTTAACGACCTGAAAAAAAAACAATTTAACATCGTGTGGGAAAGAAAGAAAAGTTTTACGATAGGGGACAAAGATAATAGAATAGGGATAAAGTTTTCAGCATAAATCTGCCCAGGTTGGGATACGCCCCGGTTTTGACTACCATAGAGGCGTTTTTAATGGGTATTTGACCTATGTGACTTGCGGCGGCCAGTCGTTATACAAACCAGTGCCTTTACCCACCACTCGAGTCGAGTATCTAAAATCAAACCTCACAGGTATAGAAGGCTTGGTTGAGCAAGGCAGATATCCACGCGAAATTTGATCCTCGGAATATACGCGTGTGATAGACCCCTGCCACTAAATCATCTCTACCCCAATCTTCATAAAGATTAGCTTGAATACCTATCACAGCCCAGATAGGAACATTTGAAATCCACCAAACTACCGCTCTGTGCTTCGATGGGGAAAATTCTTTTGAAAATAACTAAACTAAGTTGCAACCAAAGTTCAAATTATAATGCAAGTATCTCGTTAAGCAGTCGCAGTGATTTCAAATAAATTTGCATTGAATAACTTATCATCAGAAAACTTACAGATTTCTTGTAGCCAAGCAGCATCAACTTCTCGTAGACAGAGCTCATTCTTCCACAATGTATAGAAATGTAGACACTGCGCATTATGTCAGTCATTGGTTCACTCAATGAGTCCTTAACAGGTGTTTATTTACATGAATATTCTCACAGACATCAACTTGACGTTCTTTGGTAGTAGGCGTTGGTTGTTTATGGCCTCTGCTATGCGCTGATCGCAATATTCCTGCTTTAAACATTACAGCGTTGCTAAGCAGCATTACGTGCTGATGAATATACGAGAAATCTTCAACGGTAAACAAAGCCGAACAAGCGAATAAAAAACTATGCGCTACAACTGCCTCGAAGTTTGAAACAATCATAACAACATGATTACCCTTTAAAGGTCTATAAATAAAACGATTGTTTAAAAAAAAATGAGGTAGCATCTCACCGTTGTCGGTCGATATACACACCGCTCATGCATGGCGAACAATTCATTATGTGACACGTTCCTTGTGTAAGTCGTTAACGTCCGGGTTCTGCGATCGTATATGCTTTCTTCAATCACCTGAAGGAAAAGAAACGGAAAATAATCTTGCAAATTCAAAATACATGATAGCACTAGCGCCTCATCCACGTTGGGGATAAAAGATCGTTCTTCTACAAAACAGTTGACTTGTAACATCGCATTACTATTCGCGAAAAATAGTCTTCGAGTCCCAGCAATTTAACCTGAGCGGAATAAGCGTGCTCAAAAGACTGTCTAGAAGGGAGTGGATAGCGAATCCACTATTGATTCATGCATAGTTTGTATGGAAAAACCCTGATGATGCTTACAAGACGCTTAGGTTGGAAGCCTTCGATGGATGCCAAAGGGAAGGTCCTTCGAAAAGGTAGTCCGTTATTAAAATTCGTAAACACTTTGCAGGCATTTGATCGTATACCTCAACTCCGGACACCAGCGTTTCCCTTTTAAGTTTAAGCATTTATTATTTGGTGTCGAGGCAAGCCACTGAAGGTAAGAAGCTTCTCCATGCATATGATAGCAAGTGATCTACGCTGTCCATTTGAACAGGCGCATTTGCCTCGCCGAAACGTTAACTGAGGAATGCGCACTATCACCATCTCAAATAACAGCAAACAACAAAACACTTTTGAAAGTCATTGCAAACCAGGAGAGACTCAAACTACAGTTTTGTTATGTGAACCGTTTTATTGGTAAAC